GGGATAGGGAAAGTCGGGGGTTCCAGGGCGCAAAAAACGCCCCTACCCTGGTTTACCATGCGCTGCGCTACGGGGAAAAGGGAAATTCGGGAGGGGATATCACCAGCCTCGAACGTATCCCTATCCCTAAGATTGACGCGCCAAAAGGCGATGACAATCTTAGGGATGCGCCCTCAAAAAATAAGGGAATCCCTAAGATTGGCATCGTGATGAGGAGGTGCCCAGCATAGGGAAAAGGATATGTTCCAGGCTGGTAATGGACAGACGGGGGTCAATGCAAACGGGGGTCCGCCAGGGCGCCGGATCCTGCAGGATCCTGCGAAGGCCCCCCTTTGGCTGACCCGGGTCAGCGAGCCGCTCATGGCCGCGAGGCGGCCGCGCGTATTGGCTGACCCGGGTTTGCGAAGACCTGCGTTGCAGTTTTCTTTTCCTGCATTGCAGTTTTTGGTTTCCCGCTGACCCGGGTCTGGACTGACCCGGGTCAGAAGATCCCCGATAGGGAAAGTCGGGGGTGGACAGACCTCCTACCCTGACACGTCGATTAAGGAGCCGTTTTCACTAGGGGAAGGTTTAGTATACAGGGAGGTGCTTGTCAACCGCCGAGAAAGGGGGGGTACGAAAGCTGCTGCATGCAGCTGGTTTCGGCCCCGCCGAGGGGCCCATTCCTCGATGCATGGGCGCCTCCCGGCGCCGGGAGGCGCCAGGAAGATCAGTTGCGTGAGCTGCTTCTCAACCCCCCCCTGTGCTAACCCCCCCTTTTGCCCGACCCGAGTGTGGGCGCCGCGGCGAGAGCGACGAGCCGAGTCGAAGAGCAACAATCATTGCATGCACATCAGCTTCTGGCGCTCCGCGCGGGCCTCTCGGTGTTTTGGTGGGGCGGGAGGACGAGGAGGAGGTGGTCTGGCGCACGTACTCGCAGGACAAGCTCGGCAGAAGCTGGACGTGCCAGCACAATGGCGAAGAGCATGAATATGAGTCTGGTCGGTCGGACCGGTGCTTCACTGCATCAATGGGACATGTGTGGATTTTGTTCAGTTCCGAGACAAACGAAAAAGGGCCAGCGATTGCCCCGATGCGTTGACGAAGGTTCGATGTGATAGTCCCACTTTGGATAACTGGCGTTTTGCGTGGTCTTCTGATTCGAATGGCAAAGGCGGCAACATATGGACGTACAGGCTCTATGGCGAAGACCAGGGGGTAAGTATGTCTTGTCGGTGGGACCGCGTGGGCAGCAGGTCTTCAACAAACATTAATCCTTGGCTTCACCCTGGGCAGCCTGGACCGCCACTGCCAAGGAGGACGAGGACAACGTGGTTTGGTGCGCGTGCTCGAAGGACAAGGTACGCAGGATCAGGACGTGCCAGCACAATGGCGACGAGCATGCGGAGAAGTCTGGTTGGTGGGACCTGTGGTTCATTGCATCAATGGGACATGTGTGGATTTTGTTCAAATCGACAAAAATGTTCGGGCCAGCGATTGCCCCGATACGTTGACGAATGTTCGATGTGATAGCTCAACTTTGGATAACTGGCGCTCTGCCTGGTGCTCTCTCTCGAAGCATAAGGAAGACAACATCTGGACGTACAGGCACAACGGCGAACACCATGAAGGTGAGCAAGTTTTGTCGGTGGGACCGCGTGGGCAGCAGGTCTTCAACAAGCATTCACAGTTGGTTTCAGCCTGGGCAGCCTGCACCGCCGGTGCCCATGACCACGACGGCGGTGAGCGCGACGTCGCAGGACTTGCAGGGCAATGTGAGGGGGGGCGGCTCAGGCAGAGATGCGTCGAGCCCCAGTCGAAGACACGTCGCCGATAGAGAGACGCGTCGACCCCGATCGCCCTCTCATCGCCGATAGGTGCCTGATAGCCCAGCCCGCCCATGAGCATGCGGCCTCGCCATCGGGGGTAAAGCGCCGATCTATCTATAAGTCGGGCATGTCCCTTCACAGGAAGAATATTCAAGAATAGTCCAAACATAGTCTGGGGACGAGTTTCCTTTGTTTGATTCGTTTTGTGTGTGTGGCTTTTGTGCATGTTTGATTTGTCGTCCAACATCCCTCTGTAGGAGGACATGCCCGCCCTAATTCCTTCCAGCGCTCCAGGACGCTCTGAGAAGGCCGCGGCACCCGACACATCCCTCCGAACCTCCCGATCGTAGATATTCCTGAAATTTTGGACGCTTCGCGTATCCCCACCAGCCTCCGCCGCCCTGGACGCTGTCGTGAGCCGCCTGATCCGCGGCCCCGCGCGCGTTAGGTAATTTAGTCGCGTCCGCGGCCCGTTCGCGACCTCCCGCCGCTGGCGCTTCCGCCTGCGGCTGTAAAAAGAAAGAAAGTATCCCCACCAGCCTATCCAGAAACGATGTCCAGGCGAGTTGAGGTGATCAGGTAATTGCGGAAGCAGAGAGGTGAACGGCCGAACCGTGCGAAGGAGGGAGGATGAGAAGGAGGAGGCTGGATGGACGGATGAGGGAGTGGGGAGAAGGAAGATGAATAGGATGATGATGATGATGATGATGATGATGATGATGATGATGATGATGATGATGATGATGATGATGATGATGATGAGGAGGAGGAGGAGGAGGAGGAGGAGGAGGAAGAAGAAGAAGAAGGAGTAGGAGGAGGCAGGAGGAGCAGGAGGAGGAGGGCAAGCAAATGGGCCAGAGGTCTCCTGGATGCCTCTCGGAGCCTCTTGGGATATCTCTTGGGCGCTTCTTGGGGGTCTCTTGGGACGTCTTAGGGGTCTCTCGGCGGTCCTAGGGGGCTCTTGGGCGTCTTGGGTGCCTCGGGGGGGCCTCTTGGGGCCGCTTGGGGTCCTCTTCTGGGCCTCCTGGGGGCCTCTTGGGGCCATCTTGCCGCTTTGAACGCTTCAATGGCTCGCGGCACCGCCCGTGCAGGTCCAGGGGAGGGGTACGGGGGAGGGGTAAACCGGTAAACCCCTCCCCGAAGGGGAAAAGGGTGGTAGAAGAGGAACCCCCCTAAACCACCTACGCCTCGAGGGCTGGTGCGATTTTCGCTGTCCGATCCCAAACGTCCGGAGTCTCGAGTCTTCCAGATCGACGCGGGCCACGACCACCTCCCCGGGGCCGGCTGTTCTTCCCGATCCGTTTCTGCTGACTGCCCCGGGGCCCGGTTGGAGACCACCGAGGGGCCGAAGACGACGTGCAGAGCTTCCGTCCCGCTCGCTTCGGGCTGCCGGACGTCAGAGGAAAACACCAGGAATCCGAAGGCCGAAAACCATCACGTCGCTAACTTGGGGCCCGAGGGAGGCCCCAGGGGCCCCAGATTAGTGAAGTGATGTTTTTTTCCCACGTGAGGACCCCGAAATTCATCACTTCACTAAACCGAGGTCAGGACGAAAGTCAGAGGCCGAATTGCTGCTGTGATGCAACATCGGTCTCGTAAGGAAGGCGGATAAAAGAAGATTGGGTTTGGGCCCTCCCAGAGAGTAACAGAACACAGCAAAGGCGCATCGGCTCTTGAAGTAGGACGGCGCTCGAAGCAAAGTGGCATGTGGTAATCCGGAAATACTTACTACACCAGAGGTGAGCCCCAATCAGTGGACGGTTTGAAATGGGATCGACCAAGAGATCGATGAGGAGATCGACCAGGAACCCGGGAACCCACCGAAATCGGCCCGTAACCAATAGCCGGGAACCCGGGCACCCCGAACAGGCAACCCGGGAACCCAGCTGGCCACCAACATCGGCGGGACGACGTCGCCAAATCTCTCAGTAGTTCCCGCCGGGACCCCTTCAGTGCCGACACTGGTCGGGGGAAGTGGTGCGGGAGGGTGTGCCTCGACCCATGGCTGCAGTTTTCGCTGGAGCGCCAACGCCCTGGCCTCGCAGAGCCCCCCGTTCGGTCGGGTTGACCCACGAGAGGGTCCAGCGACAAGGGGGTGGTGCAATATAGGTTTGGTGCAACAGATTTGCGGGGTTGCAATACGTTGGGGGCGTGCGACACATTCTGGGGCGCAGACGTATTGCTGGATTCTCGCGTGCAGTGCATTCGTTGCAATACCATACAGTACAATTTCCCGGTTCAGTGCGTTTGCAATACAAGTGCTCCAGACCTACTGCACCACCCCCTTGCAGCTGGACCCCCTTCTGGGCCACCCAAAGTTCGGGGAGCCCTGACCGTGCGGGAGGTCAGCTGCGGGGCGGCAGGTGCCCGGCTTCGCCTTGCTATCGCTGCCCCTCTCGATCGCCGAACGCCTTCCGCCACTCTCAAGCTGGGCCGGTCCCTCTACAGGAGGAGAATTCAAAAATAGTCAAAACGTAGTACGGGGACGATTTTTCGACTTTTGACCATTTCGGGGTATTTTTGAATATTCTTTCAATTTGTCGTCCAAAATGGGCCTGTAGGGGGACGTGCCCGACCTAACGCTACTCGCAGAGTGCCTGCTGACAAACGTCCAGAAAGAAAAGGAGGTCTTCCCATATGCAATGAGTCGTCAATCCCCCGCGGCGGATCCAGGCCATTTGCAAGTAATTACTTTGCGAGTAGTGGAGCGCGCTCGTCCAGCACAGTCAACCCGCACAGTCAGGATCGGCAACCTTGCCAAGGGTACTCTTGCACCCTTGCCATTTTCGGCCCATGCTGAGCGAGTCTCGCTGGCCAGCCCTGTTCGAAAAAACGTGACAGTCGAGGCGCGGAAGGCGGAACCCTTGTCGTTGGGGATGGGGCTCCGTTCTCTTTGATTGCTGCACAGTTTGCTTCAGGTGTTCCTCAGGTTCCCGATGGGACATCGAAGTCCAACTCGTGGACAAAAATGGGGCCTCGTTCCCTCTTTGGGGATCCTTAGGTCAACACCCCGACGGCACCTGCGGCCTGCAATGCCTTATCCCGCCATCACATGTTTCACCCCTTCTATCGTCTCCAGTCGTAGCGGGAGCTCCCGCGGCAGAAGAGCACCCAGAACGAGCCCCTGCTCGACAGAGGGGGGCCCATCTTAGGGCTCCTCTGTGACAGAGGGGGGGTCGAACAACGAATTCTCACCTAGTTTCGGCATGTGGATTAGCATCCTTACCGCGCATCCTCACTTCGACGTGGGTGGGCATCGCTGCCGGATGGGCCGCGGGAGGCACGCGAGGGGCCCAGAGCCCCCCCCCCCCCGCGAGAGGCCCCGAGGCGGGCGGCCCAGGCCTCCAACCGCCCCGCGCCGCTCTCCCTCCTCCTCCTCCTCCTCCTTCCTCCTCCTCCTCCTCCTCCTCCTCCATCCTCCTCCTCCTCCTCCTCCTCCTCCTCCTCCCTCCTCCTCCTCCTCCTCCTCCTCCTCCTCCTCCTCCCCCCTCCTCCTCCCCCTCCTCCCCTCCCTCCTCCTCCCTCCTCCTCCTCCTCTCCTCCTCTCCTCCTCCTCATGCTTCTCCCGCTCCTCCTCCTCCTCCTCCTCCTCCTCCTCCTCCCTCCTCGTTCTCCTCCTCCTCCTCCTCCTCCTCCTCCTCCTTCTCCTCCTCCTCCTCCTCCTCCTCCTCCTCCTCCTCCTCGAGGATGTGCCCACGCACCGCGGCCTCGCCGAGCGCAGCCCCGAGAGCGGCGCCGGCCTCAGCGCGCCCTCTCCAGCCGATCGGCGGGGCTGGGGCGGCGCCCGGCGGAGGCGGCGCCCGCGGGGGCGCGGAGCGTGCGCACCGGCAGCGGCCCCAGCCAGCACGCTTGGGCGTCACATAGTGGGGGGATCATCAATGGGGGGGTGGCGAGGGTGGTCCGAAAGGGTACCCAAACGGTACCTCAACAAGCCCCCTGGGTCTCTGGAGGGAAAGGAAACGGGGCCGTTTTCTGACCCCCCCAGCTATGACCCCCCCCCCGGAAGCCACGCCCAACACGCGAGAGGCTCGCGCAGGTGCTACCTGGGGGGTGGCCCCAACATAGGGGGTGAAGGAAACGGCCCTTGGAGCCAGCAGGGGCCCGGACGGGGCCCTAAAGGGCCCCTTGTGTGGGTCCTCCTCTTCGCCCCTCGTTGTAGGCCACCCCCCTATATACAGCACCCGCCCGTGGGGCACCAGCACCCGCCGACCAGGGCGATCGCCATGGGCACGTCAAGGGCAGGGATAGGGGGGGGGGGAACAGGCATAGGGGATCGTCCGCTCATCGCCAGTAGGGGCCCGACAGCCCCACCCCGCCCAGGAATGTGCAGCTTCGCTATCCAGGGCCTAGCGCCGATCTGTCGGCAATGTGTCGCCGATTCCAGGTTGGGGTTCCCCCCCCAGCATCACCCCTCAGTGCGGAAAAAAGGGCTACTAAAATTGAAAGCACTTTTCGGGGAACACAAAGACATCAACATAAGCTTTCGGAGGTCTGCGCGTATTGCTCGCATCGGCGTCGGAGCCCCCTTGGGGCGCCTTGGGCGCCGCCCCTGCGCGCTCCGCTCGCCAGGGGCGGGGGGCCAGCGCCGATCCAAGAAGCGCGCGCGGACCTTCAAATCATGGGCAGGAGGAGCACGTCGAGATCACAGTAGCCCACTGTCTGGTGCCCACTCGTGCCAACGTGCAGTCCAGACCAGCAGCACCGCATCGAGGCGACCCTTGCACCCAGGGGTATTCGACCCTGGACCCTCCCAAGTTTTTTTTTGGGCCCGGCGCCGCCGGAGCTGTTTCAGCACGGATCGGGAGCCGTGAGGCGGGGTCCATGCAAACGCTTGGCATCGCTCGGACGGACGTGTATTTTTCCTTCGGCGAGGACCATCGAGGAGCATCCTTGATCATATGGCGAAGAAAACCACGCACAACACCGAAGCAAAAACACAGGGAATGGACGTCCGAGCGATGGCCAGAACGGGGGTCAGCCAGAGCGCCCGATCTTGCAGGATCCCGCAGGGTCAGGGTCGCATTGACCCGGGCTTGGGCGCAGGATTCTGAGAAACATCTTGCAGGATCCTTCGCATCGACCCAGGTTTGGGTGCGGGATCCTGCAGGATTCTGCAAGGCCTGACTGACCCGGGTCTGGATTGACCCGGGTCAGCAGATCCCCGAATGGACATCCCAAGCGCCGCGCGTGATGCAGTCTTGCTCCGTCTGTGACTGCAGGGGTCTTCGCCCGGCGGCGGGATGGGGGTTCGGGGCGCCTGTCTTGGTCACCGGCCTTTCACAGCGTAGACTTAAGTCAAGCACGTCCCTCTACAGGGGGAATATTCAAAAATAATCAAACATAGTCTGGTGACGATTTGTTGAGCATGTTTGGAGTATCGCTGTGGATTTGTTTAAACTATGTTTGATTTTTCATCCAAAATCCGTCTGTAGGGGGACATGCCCGACCTACGCAAAGACTAGACTTTGCAAGGACCTTCCTCCCTCGGGTGTCCGTGCTCCCCCCCTTTCGCTCCGCCGTCATTCGCCGCGGCGGGCGCCGCGGTTTGCAGCGGCCTTCCAACACCCTTGGGTGGCTTCATTCTTCCACCCACGTTCCCCGGTGACCTCCCCCGGGGGCATGTGCTCCCCCAGATCCACGCCCTGACCTTCCAGGAGGGTTCGAAAATGGCACGTGGATCTGAGCGCCCAACTTCAGTCGAAGCTTTCGGCAGTCCAGATGGGTCTCTAGGTCTGGAGTGCTACTTTTCAGCACTCTGGAAGGTCAGGGCGTTTGATGGCCCTGGGGCCCGAAACCAAACCCCAGAGGCCGAGATTGGGGGAGGAAGCGACGGGACTGAACAAATGGTCTGCATGCGACCGCCGCCGATCCCGCCCCTCTGTATCCTCCCTGCCGCCAGTCTATGCCATGAGTTCTGCCCTCGACACGTGGCCTGGCATTGGCTCTGGCAGTTGCTCCCTCGGTCCCGCCGCAGCTGGCAGACGATTCGCTCAGGGACAACGTCAGAGGAGGGCGCATCGACCCCCACTCGCCAAGGGCTCCCGCGAGGGCGCGAAGTCATTCGCGGTTCGCGCTTCGCGGTCCTCGTTCCTCCTCCCCCTCCTCCTCGTCCTCCTCTTCTCCCTTTGGGAGGGCGGCGCGAGAGCGCGAAGTTATTCGCGCTTCGCGCAGCGCGAAGCGCGAAGTTGGGAGCCCTAGATTGATCGCCGATAGGGGCTTGGTATTCCACCCCGCCAAGAATCGGAGGGATTCGCTATCGGCGGTTCGTCGCCGATTCACCGGCGGTGCATCGCCGATTCCAGGACGACGATCCCACCTCGGTCCAGTCTTCGTCCTTCACGTCCCCCTTCAATCACACCGCTTGCGTACAGCTGTCTTTCCTGCCCCGCTTCTGTTCCACGGCCTCTCCCAAGATGGGTCGGGGCAAATCGAGGTACACGGGGATGAATCTAGGGGCATGCTCATACACGTCGAGGCAAGCCCAGAGATATCCAGGTCATCTTGGAATCACATGTATGGATCGAGGGACATCGGAAGCCGGGAAGCCTTCACTTCAACGCGCCTCCGCTGAACCCGAGGCACATGCCGCGCCGCCCGAGGGAGACCAGCCGCGCGGCCGAGGGCTGCCCACGATGCGAGCGGCCTGAGGTCTGGATAGTCGAAGTGGGTACGGAAAAAATGGTGACGAAGATCTGGGCACGCCAGAGAACCCCAGAACCACCACCACGTAGACTTTCCTGGAGGGCCCCCCCAGGGGAGAGCCCACCGACATCGGCGCGAGCCCTCTGGTTGTCGTTCTGGTCGATTGGGCCGTCGGGGACGCTCACATCGACCACAACCAGCACCAACCGGGTTCTGGTGTTCTAGCGATTGTTGACATGCGTCAGACATCCCCCAGGTTGCGTTCTCGCTGTGGTTCTGGCCGGCTGCTGTCCCCGCAGAGGACCCGCAGCAGCCCCTGCTCATTCTGAATTGGATTGTTGGTGTTGCCGCGGATTTCGCCAGTTTGAGCAACATGCGCGCCCTTCCCAACAGCGGCCGCCATCGGTTTTGGACAGCATCTGCTGTTTGGCATCGTACCTAGTTTGTCCGTACCCACTTGGGCGACGCAAAGAAACGGGTTCGATCGCCCCGACATTCGTGCGTCAGCTGCCGGCGTAGAGTTGCGCGCGAGTGCCCTTACTTCCAATGCAGCGTGCCGCGCTGGTTGCCCGCGTAATTACGCTGCGGCGTGAGGCCGCTGCGCCACCTCGCGCAAGGCTCGTTTCCGATCGTTGCTGCTCTCGGGCGTGCGAGTGAGGGCCGGCCGCGGGCGGCATGCAGCGGAGCCCGCTCCCCGCTTCAGATGGATGGGATGTGCGGGAAGAGACCTCCTCCTCCTCCTCCTCCTCCTTTTCCTTCTTTTTCTCTTTCTTCTCCTCCTCCTCCTTCTCCTCCTCCTCCTCCTCCTCCTCCTCCTCCTCCTCCATAGCCATTTTGGCTCATGCCTGCCTGGGCGCGTGGCGGGCGGTGCGCGGCGTGCCTCTCGCCCTCTGGAGCCCTGTCGCCCCGGCAGGCACAGAGACCGGCTCGACCTCGTTGCCCCCCTCGCCCTCGCGGCCTCTGGCAGTGGCTGCGGCCGACTGCAGCGGAGCAGCCGCGGCACGCGGCGGCGGAGCTGCCCGTCGGCGGCTCGGTCTGGCCCGCGCGGCACGCCAGGCAGGGGGCGGCCCGCGCTGCCGGCGCCGGGCGGCTCCAGGCGGCCCCCACCCGAGTGGCCGACCTCGAGGCCCAGTGCGCGCAGCTCCAGGCGGGCCTGGACCACGCGCCGGTCGCCAGGCAGGCCATGGTCGCGGCGGCCGCGCGTGCTGCTGCCCAGGAGGCCGGCGGCGCCGCGGCCTCCCCCGTGGGCTCCGGCGTCGTGGGCGGCAAGCGGGAGCCGCTGCTGCGCGCGGACGTCCCCGAGGTCGTCGCGAGGCTGTCGCTGGTCGCGCCCGTCATGGCGTCGGACGTCGGGCGTCGGCGGCGGAGGTTCGCAGGCTCTCGCATCGAGCGCTGAATCGCCTGCAGCGCGCGCGGGTACAGCGCCTTCGGCGTGGGCAAGGAGGTCGCGGTCCTGGTGTACGCCAGCGTGGTGCTCTAGTTGTTCTACGCCGTGCTGGTGCTGGTCTTCCGTTGCGGTAGCGCTCGGGCGCGCGTCGTGCTCCTCGGAGGAGTGCCGCGCCTGTCCCGCCGCGCCGCCTGCCTGCGGTGCGCGCCGCCCGTGAGGCGGTCCCGAGCGATTGGGCCATCGCTCAGGCCCGCCGCGGACGCAGTGCACCGCCAGGCGCCGTCTCCGCGCTGGCCGAGAGTGCGAGGCGGGCCACTGCGCCGAAGCTCCCGCCCCTGTCATCGGGAGCGCTGGTGGAAGTGGAGCGCCGAGGCGCGCAGCGAAGCTGGCGACTTCTCGTCTGACGCCCCCTTCGGCGCCGAGGTGGGCGAGGAAGGCGGCGCCGCTGCCTCCCCTGACGCCCCGCCTCCCGACCCTGCCCCCGTGGTCCTATTGGGTGCGCAGGTCGGGAGCCTGCCGCAGGAGTTGGAGTGCACCGTCAACCCGTCTTCCAGCCCGCCTGCGAGTGAGCTGATGCACGAGGTGGCGCCCGACGCCCAGCCCGACGGCCAATCGTCGCGCGATGCTGGCACTGCTGGCCTCGGCGATGGTCCCGCCGCGGTGATGGCCTGCAGCTGCGCGCCCCCCCCGTGCGATGCACCACCGACGCCCAGCGATGGCGTGTTTCCTGATGCTGATGGCCCTCTGGCGGCGGCTGGGGCGGATATGCAGGACTCCCTCGGCAGCGGTGGCGTCCCCGTCGCGGCGGAGGGCAGCGTCGACCTCTTCGACCCGTACGGCGAGCGGAGGTGCTCGGGAGGACCACGGAGGCTGCTGGTCCTCCAGCGCCATTCTTCCAGACCGCGTGCCTCGACGAGAAGGCCGTCGACCCGGAGGAACTCCAGCGCATGCTGGCCGACCCCGAGCAGCACCGAGCAGCCGAAGGCCAGGCCAGACAGACGCTGCGCGGGAGGTGAGGGGGCCCGCTCTGGCCCGCGGAGTGCCCCCTCGAAGTTCTGGCTCGTGAGGCGCTCCTCGGCGTGGGTTTCGGGGGTGGTGCCGCCTGGGTCCCGAGCCCCGCACGGTTTCGGCGGCCGCTGCCGGCTGCCGCGGTTGTGCCCGTTGTTGTCCCCGCGGGGGGGGACTCCGCCGCCTGGCCTTGGTCCTCTGGCGGAGGGCCGCGGTCGGGGCGGAAGCCTGTCTGGGCTTCGGTCTGGGGGATCCTCGTCGCCACGGCTCCCGCGCCTCGCGCCCTGCGCGCCTTTGGCGGCGTAGAGGTCACCCGCTCGTGCGCCGAGTTGACAATTGGGGCCCTGGCAGTGATGAATCTGCTGACGGCCAGGGCATCCTTTGATGACGTCCCATCCATCCATCCTCCTCCTCCTGTTCTGGTGCCAAACCCAGAACCGAAACCACGCCCGCTTTAATGCCGCCGAGATGGACGCGATGTACGGGGAGACGTCGAGGCAGGACGGCCACGCACGTGCGCCAATTTCGCGCGTCTAACAAACGAGGAAACATAGCTCCTGTGGGGGCGAGTGAGGGGGCCGAACACATGATCTCTGCTTCGACGGTTTTCCGGCGAAAAATGTGGCCCAGCACTGGATCTGGCCAGCAGGAACGGCGGGCATATTCGAGGCTACGGGAACTGGAAGGTTGTATCCCGTCTTCAGCCTCCGGGGGCCGCTTTCGGGTCCCCTGGCCGTGAAATGTGGATCCGAAGTGAACAAATTACATTAGGGTACCGATTTTGAATGGACTTGGCCTCATCCCCACCTCCTGATCGATTTTCGAGGTCCCGAAAAATTCAGAAATTGATCGGAACGCACCCCGTGAGAGGTCAGGGGAGTACGGGCATCGGCATTTTGTGGTTTCACCAGCCGTGCGTACTCGAGGATGGCCACGGTTCGGATGGCTCAAATGCCTCGCTGTCGGTTGCGTGCGGTCCGTACGGCTCGGTTGGTCAAGGAGATCTGCGGTTCTGTCGGTTCGGTTGTTCCGCGCTCGGTTGCGGTCGGTCGGTCCGGTTCTTCGGATGTTGTGCTGTTGCCGCACCGCCGCAGGGCTCAAATTCACTCTCCCCCGACCTCCCTCGATCCAAGGTGAGAAGGGGGGGGGAGGGGAGACGGGGGCGTACATGAGCAGGCGGGGCGGGGCGAGGGTGGAGGGGAGGGAGGAGGGACGAGGGCGGGGGGGCGATAGTGGTGAACAGGGGGATGGTGCGGTCGCGGATACGGATGACGGCGATGGGAAGATTATTGTCATATTGCTGTTGTTGGTGATGTGGATGTTGATGTTGACGTTGATGGTGGTGATCATGGGCGGCGAGCCTTTCTTTTCCCCCCCCCCACTCAAGTTACCCCGAATTAGGAGGAGGAGGAGCAGGAGGAGGTGGAGGAGGAGGAGGCGGAGGAGGAGGTGGAGGAGGAGGAGGAGTAGGAGGAGGAGGAGGCGGAGGAGAAGGAGGAGGAGGAGGGGGAGGAGGAGGGGCGGCCAGGACCACGACAAGGCGGGATGGGGGAGCAGGAGCGGGAGCAGCGGAGGCGGACGAAGGAGGAGCAGGGACCAGAAGCTTGAGGAGGACGAAGTTCGAGCAGGTTCGAGGACCAAAACTTGCGGGAGACTGTGCTTCCGGTACGCCCGCGTCGTGTCGAGCGGCGGCGACACCGCCGCAAGCGTTCAGCATTGAACGCCGCCGACAGCTCGAAGCTCGAAGCATGGGCAGGGAGGGGACGGCAAGGGGTGGGGGACCAGGAGTGGGGGTTCAGGGTCACGGGGGAAACGGGAAGGCGGTGGGGCGAGGCGCAGGATTAGGAGGAGGAAAAAGAGTAGGGAAAGGAGGAGGAGGAGGAGGTGGACGGCATTGCGCCAGGAGCTACAAATGGGAGTGATTAGGGGAGGAGGGAGGAGAGATCAGGGGAACGAGGAGGAGGAGGAGGAGAAGGAGGAGGGGAGCTAGAAGATGGACTTGGGGAGTGAGAAGGATTAGGGGAGGAACAGTTAAGAATAGGAAGGGGATAGATGAGGGCGATATGCTACATCTTATGGGACAGACTGCAGAGAAGGCACGGGATAATGGGTGACACACGCCCACACACACACACACACGCACGCACGCACGAACACACACACACACACGCACGCACACACACACATCCACACACACACACACACGCACGCACGCACGCACGCTCCCGCACCCGCACCCGCACCCGCACCCGCACCCGCACCCGCACCCGCACCCGCACACGCACACGCACACGCACACGCACACGCACACGCACACGCACACGCACACGCACACGCACACGCACACGCACACGCACACGCACACACACACGCACACGCACACGCACACGCACACGCACACACACCACACACACACACACACACACACACACACACACACACACACACACACACACACACACACACACACACACACACACACACACACACACACACACACACACACACGCGCTCTCGCACACATGTTTCGTCGGTGGCGAGGCAGAGTTGGCTGCACCAGCAGGTAGAGCTAAACGGGGGCACAAGGAAGCCACTCGGCCAGCGTGGAAGAGCGGGAAAAGGGCAGAGAGGGCGTCCGCAGAGGTGGGGTGGGGGGGAAGAGCGCTCGCGCACACACGCACACACTCAACACTATGATCACGGAGTGCGCAGGAGGGGGGAGAATACATGGGGTTGGGAGATCGGAAGACGTAGGGTGGGAAGGGCGGGGGTGGGTATGGGTATGGGTTTGGGTTGGGCGGACAAAAGTCCACCTGCCGACGCTGCGGCTCGCGAGCGGGAGTGGCGACGAGGAGCCCGAGGGCCTCACCAGACAGGTGCACCACAGCGACGGACCTCCCAGGAGGGGAGAACCGTGGCCAAGGCCCCACCACCCCCGCGGGGACGAAGACCCACGGGCAACCGAACGCAGCCACCAGGGCCGCACCCAGGATCCCGCGGCCCGAACCGAGGCAGCCCCCAGGCCGCCCCCAGGAAGAACCAGTTGTTCGAGCCGAGCCCAGCAACTACGCGTAGCTGCCGCCCACTCAGCCCTCGGATGGAGCTGCGGCCAGGATCTTCAACGTGGCCATGCACGGCGTGAAGCTGTCCCAGTCCACCCCACCGAGCCCCATGGACTTCGCCCTCCCGTAGCGGGACTCGATCAGCGCCACCGTCACCTCATCGAGCCCCGGGACCTCCTGGGCCGCGGCGGACGGCACCTCGGAGCAGCCCTCGACCTGCACCTCCGCCGCCCCGACAGGGGCCCCCAGCACCTCGCCCACCAGCGC